TATTTTTTAAAATTTATTTTATGCATAAGTACAATAAAAAATATTCAAATAAAAAATATTCAAATTTTTATATCAAATTTAAAACTCAAATCTCAAATTTATATTTTAAAGGTATTTTCAAAAAACATTATTTTAAATTAATATGTTTTTAATATTTTAAATAATATTAAAATTAAAAATTATTTTTAACATATATTTTAACATAAAAAACATAGGCAATTCCACTGCCAAATCAGCTGTCACCAACTCCTCCGAACCACAAGAACGCTACCGTATTTAAATTTACGCCACAACTATTCTTAAGCCTTAATCCACCATCACCACAAGATTATTGCACCGCCACTTGATCTGTCCATCATCTAGACCATGATCTTCTCCGGCCCACTTCAACACCTTGGCCACAGCTAACTTCACCACTCAAACCATCAAGTCCACGCACATCCACTAATCAAGTCATCAATAATAAGGTTTGAGTTCATAAAAAAAAAAAAAGTACTTTATTTATCTAAAATATTTTTTTATTTCTCTCTCTTCAAAATGTTGTCCTTTTCTCTAATTCTTAGAGGACGCATTCGTTCATGTTTACTTTCTTCAAGATAAAAAAAATTGATGCAAGGAACAATTAATTAATTATTTCAATTAACCAATTAATTACATGCCGTAATCCCACTTAAAGTTATTTGATTAGCCATCGTAAATGAGGTCGCAAATCTTGAGAAATTGGTCACGAATAAAAAAAAGTTAAAAAAATAAAAATATTAGACTGAGTATATTTTTGATTGATCAATTTTTAGTAGTGTCGGTGTTAATCATTATTCTCCGTAACTGCGTGTCCATAGAGTGTCGTGGTTGCGTCTTAATTGCTCTCGCTTAATCGTGTCCCGACTTGATCTCTAGAGCATGGAGAGACGAGCCCTGTTCAATAACGCGAAATAATTGTTACTTTCTTTTTTCGTTTCTTTTTCTAATAAAATTTTTTAAAACAGGTTTATTTTAAAAAAATTTAAAACATCTTTCCAACCATGTTTCCAATGACCCAAATTTTCATTAATTTAAAAATAAAAATAAAAATAATTTAAATAACAAAAACATATAAATTATTTACTTAAATTGTTGTGGGGTATTTAAACCTCTTTAACCTTTTTTTTTTGTTGGAAGGAGTGAAGAGTTTTTTTCTTTCAAGAGTATCAATAAAAGAAAAGATATCTTTTATATAATATCTATATTGATGAAAATGATTTTTATTTAATATTAGTATTGATAAAAATATCTCTTATAAAATATTAATATTAATAGAAATACAATAAACTCGTAAAAGACTTTTTTATACATTACCTTATTAAAATTAATATTGATAAAAATATGACAGAATTCTATAAATCTTTTATATATCTAAGGGTGTATGAAAATAAATATTGATGATCTTAAAATTTCATGTTAAGAGTAATAAACAAACATGACCCAGTTTGAGGCTTTAAAAGATTATTAACTTTATGTTGTTGGATATGAAATGATTTCAAATCTAAAAATTTTGGATCTGACATCTTCTTAAATATATACATTTGGACTTAGCATATAATTGAATTCAAAGACATTAGGTGTAATATCTTGCCAAACCCGCATGTATGTGGGTTCAACGTGTAACTAAACCGAATAATATAGTTGAACTCAGGGTGTTGGGTTTAACATCTCACAAAATTTATATGTGGTTTAACTTAATATATAACTGAAACATAAATTATTGAATTTAAAATCAATTGAAACCTATACATGCCATTAAACTTGATATTCTGTCAAATCTGTCATTTAAACCTGATATTTTGTCAAATCTAATTAGTTGGGTAATTATTTGGCCTTAACCCTTTCAACCATAAGCTTTTAAGCAAACTTATAATATAAAATACAATTTTTTATTATTATATAATTTGCAAAAGTGTACATAGATAGGTTTCTAAATTTACATGTAACTAAATTTCTAATAAAGGTGCCAAAGTTTTTATCCAAATTTTTTAGTAAACTAAAACAATATTGCTTAATTTAATTAAAATAATCTTGAACTTGGAATAATATTACTAATTGAATAGTTAATATAAACTTTTAATCAAAGTGATAACATCATAGCTAAATTTATTATCTTAATTAACATTTGCAACAAATTAAAAAAAAAAAAGTACAGAACCCACAAAGAAGGCTGCAAAAATTAAAAAGAACCAAAAACCTAAAGAAAGGTGTCACACACATCGATGCGAAATTTAGCAAACGTGAGAGCACAAGCGATGACGATAAGTAACAGTATAGCCTTTTGCAAACCACCATCCAAGAAAAAACCCTTCAGTGATTAATATTTATAGGCTAGAAAGAACAATTATTTTATACAGAGTCCACTCCGCTAATATAAATCCAAGATACCAGAATTTTACAGGAAAAAAATAAATAGAAATACAACAAAAGAAATAAATGAATGTGATTCGTACAAAATCTCAACTACATAGTAGCAGAAGTTGGTAATAAGGAAAGCAAAAAGTATGTCCAAACTCCAAATTAAGGTTAGATAAAACATTTCAACATGGGACGAGCGACCTTCTCTAACTGCAACTCCGAGTCATTCTGATACATAGGCAGGGCCAAGCTCAAATCCAAGCACAGAACTCTCTTGCTGCTATTGGATCTCTTCAAAACTGGGACAGCGGGTAAGAAAGGCGGTTGAGTCACAGCCAATTCATGATCTTTACTACTAGTACTGGTGGTATCAACGTTATTAGGCGCCCGGTGTCTCCTCATGTGACCTCCTAGTGCTTGCCCGAGAGGAAATTCAAGGCCGCAAATGGAGCACTGGTGAGTTTTTGGCTTTGAAGGCGAATTAGGCAACTTCAACAAGTTCCCAGTTGATTCCATGAGTTTTGGTTTCTTGTGACTTGCACGGTGGCCTCCTAATGCTTGAAATGAAGGGAAATTCTTGTTGCATGTTTTGCATGAAAATGAGCGACCGGCCCCGGCCCCTGCCGTTGCTGCTGCTGATGTATAATTGGTTAGTATCTCGTGATCAGCTTTGCCAACTTTAGAAAGGAGCATCAAGCATTTGGCCAAGTCTAACTCTGCCTCTTCTCTATCTCTCTTCATGGTAATTAAGCTTATAGATTAGATATATAGTATGATTTGTGTCTATAAGATGAGCAAGAACAAGTATAAAGCTTCGAAAGAAGAAGGTGGTTGAAAATTTGATAGTTGGATGGAAGTAAGGCACTATGAGTACGTATATATATATCGTTGGACGGAGCTGTTACTGCCGAGTAAGCACTGACGTCTTTGCTTGAGGGGCAATTATGCCCTCAACACTTGTAGGCTAAGGAAATTTAGAGCGTGTGGTAGACATGTAATAAGAGTAGAATAGAAGGTGAGAGTGTAGCTATCGTCATGATGCGTTCGCGTGACCGCGTAGAGCAAACTTGGGGAGCGGCATCACATCCGGTCAGTGATGGTGAGCCACTACGACCCTTCCTTCCTAAAGTCATATATCATGTGTTGACAATTCCTTATATTTTATGTTGAGTGCAAGTCCGACCGCACTTAGAAGCGCGTGCATGATACCCAACTTAGATTTGTTCGTGGAGAAACCCCTATTAATTAAATATTAATTGGAAATGACATGAGGAGTATCTATCAAATTTGGAGAGGGAGAAGAACTTATTCTCCATTGAATTAATGGAACAACTTTAGGGGCTCCTCATTAACAAATATAAATAGTTTTTGCTATATCATTCATTACATTGCACTAAATATTAAGCCTATATAATTTTACTATATAGTTAAATTTTAAAAATAAATAAAAAATTAAAAGTGATATACGATCCATATTTATTCTATTGAAAAAAAAACTCCATGTATTCTACTCAAATCATATTTAACTAGTTCATGTCGCATGTCATGGGTCTGCGACGTTTCCAAAGCGCGTGAACAAATGGTCCACTTCGGTGTAGAAGCAACTGAGAAAGACAGGCAGTTGAAGGTAGAGAAGAATGACGGAAAACGGTGGTGCCAGATTGCGACTTTTCGCGGTGCAATCGACGCGGTTAACGAGTTCGGCTCTCAAGTCTCTGTCAACTTTCTTCCTTCCACACCGTTCCTGCCCTGATCTCTACCACGTAAATTCTAAAAGGAGGCGTGCTTGCGTTTCCGGTTCACACCTTAGACCTTTCCTGATTTCAACACCGTGACGCGGTCCATCGATTACTACCATTTAACTTAACTTGATGTGATGTTAATTTATTAATAGATTGAAATAATTTATTTTTTATTTTTTAAAATTTATTTTTAATAATAGCATATAAAAAAACTTTTAAATAAAAATAATTATTTTTTTTATAAAAATACTTTCTTATATATATAAAAAATATTGGTTATTAAACTTGAATGACTTAGGAAGAGATAAAGAAGTGTCGGACTCACCAGGTGTGCTACTTGTCCCTATTTTTTGTTATATATATATATATATTATTACATAACATATATGTAGTTTTATTTATCAAGGATAAAATAATACTTTTAATTTAATCTATATATATTTTATTTATTTCTAGATTAAGACTAAGTGTTTATAAACATATTATTTAGAAATTTAGCTTTCTTTTTATGTTTCATCTTAATTATATATATATATAGACACACACAGAGAAATGAGTTAGTGGATATATTTTTCATTATTTTAGATTGAGAAATTGCATAATAAAAGTTATTTCCGTGGTAAATCTTTGTGAAAATGAACCGCAATACACAGCCAGGCTTCATTATACGTGTGCCAGGCTTAATGACTATCTATAACCAAGGCTGGGTTGTAGACAGTCATTAAATATATATATTTTTAAAAGCAGTGTTGGTGTGGTTAATACACAACCTCACAGATATATATATATAAACTTGATGGTAACTCGATCCGTGCTAAATTTGAAATTAAATCAATCAAATAGCTAATTTTATAAGATTTAAAAATAATAAGCAGGTTCATTTAAGACAGTAACTCGATGGGGTCCATCAAAATGTTTTGATGAGAGAATAAAAAGTTTTGATTTTTTTTCATATATATATATATATAAAAAAAATTATGAGGTGAATGTACATAAAATATGCTGTTGTTCTAAATAGTACAATCTTCATAATTATTTTTAGGTTGTGCTATTCCCCTCAATAAGTTACATAGATTATGTTGTTTTCGACAGCACAACTTGTATATTTCTTTTAGGCTATTTTGAGGTTTTTTTCTTTTAAGTTCTGCTTACAAAAAATTATGTTAGAAGTTGTTTGATCACGACATGCAATCTTGACTTTGACTAATCTATGTTGAATGTAATTTTGGTCAACAAACTTGTACGAGGCTGTACTATGTGTACCTAGCCAGCAGCACAGCCCCGCGAGAAACTTCGACTACTCGAAGAAACAAAGTAATTGCCCACTTTCGAGTTTAATGTCTCAGTTGGTTATTATCGTAAAACTTGATTCAAAGTTCGTTTTAGTTTGACAAATACTGAACCCAATAAATAAATAAATAAATTTCATTAAGTAAGAAACAAATATAGATTGTGGTATAAGAACACAACTTTGTTATTTAACCAGCCTCGATTCAGCAGGTCAGATTTGATTGAATCATTCCTAACTTGAGCCAAGTATACAAATAAAATAATTTAAAATTAAATTGGTTTAATTTGAAAGGTTAATCTATAATTAAATTAATTTGATTAAAATTGAAGTTGATTTAATAAAAAAACTTAAATAATATCTTTTTATTCTTTTTTAAAAAAACCTGAATTAACTCATCTGAATATCACCAATCACCTGCAATAAATTAAATTAACGTAAGTTAGGTTAATAACCATGCTTTCCCGCCGGCCATCTAACCCCGGTTTCTCTCAAGTCTAAGAGAATCTTCTTTAAACTTTATATTTGTTATTATTTTTCGGCACTTGTATTTCAATTTTGGAGGCATGAGGAACGACATGCACGTCATCTATATTCAATTTCGGAGGCATGAGGAATGACATGCACATTATATATAGTGTTTATTAGATTTCAAAGAAGCAAAAATAAAATAAATCTAAGAATTTGGTTATTAACTCGAATTGGTTCAATAAAAAATCAAATGAACTAGAAAAAAAATACAACAACCAACTTAAAAAATAAATAATTGATAAAATTATATAAATATATTATCCCAATATTTGATAACAAAGAAAAAATCAAATGAAAATGCGATAACTCCCACAAAAATGAAGCAAAAAACCTTAAAGCTTAATTCCTATAAAATCAAATGTAAAATGATAGAATTAAAAAACATCTAAAAATACAAAAAAAAAAATTAAAAAAGATCGAAATCAACTCAAGTTAATCTTCAAATTTCATGATTCGAATCATAAAATTGATACTAATCTTATAATACTCAAATATAAAAAAAATTACGAAGTAAAATCCCCAATCAATTAAATAATGAGAGACAGAATTGAAAAACAAAATTTAATTAAAAAATATTCAAAACTAAATAAATAAAAATTAAAATAATAAAAACCAAATTTAAAATAATAAATAAAAAAAATATTGATGGATGAGTTTGAAAAAAGAATATATAAAAATAAAAAAAAAGCAATCAAAATCATAATAATCAAATTTGACATAAATATTAAATAGAATTAAATGTTACGAGATAAAATTAAAAAAATCAATAAAAAACATAAAAAAACTATAACAATAAAAAAAATCAAATATAATACAAAAAAAATAAATCACACCTTTATATTTTTACAGGCTAGCGTTTTTCTTAAGAAGAGAAGAGAGAAAAGAGGGAGCCGAGAAAAAAAGCATGTGAGAGCCCAATAGCGTATCATCCATTGACATGTGCTAGAAGGCTAAGAAGATCGAGGCATGCCGCTTAAAGAACACAATTGCCACCAACCTGCCAGGCGCCTAGGTTGCATCTGCCAACGAATATTCCTTTCTCGTTAAATCCAGTCTCTATACTTATATTAGTTTCAATTTTGATCCTTCAACACTTAACAAATAAGTCAAACTTTGTTTTATTTTGCAAAAATTAGTATCAATCAAGCACCGAAAATTTTTCTCAATATTAGAAGATCCTCGTATCAAGACAGCTAAAATAAAATACCAAGCCAAATCCCAAATAAAACTAATAAAAGAAAATTAAATTGAAAAAAATAAAAGTTAAGAGATCAAAATAAAAGTAAGGACATGAAGTCCCCATTTATGATGCAAATTAGTCTTTAAATTGGCAAAACAAAAAAGGCTTAATAAATTGAATTTTATTTTGCATAATCAAGAATTAAGCAAGTGGCAAAACATTTTCACGACACCTCAATATTCCTTTACGCATGCATAGAAAATAAATTACTAAGAACACATGCAAATCAAAGCCATGTCATAGGACCAAGTACAAAGAAAAATAAATTAAGGGACTAAAGCATAAACAATCCTCAGGAAAAAAGGAAGAAGCCTGATTTCTTGTATCATGCAGACACATCAATGATAGCCAGGAATGTCAACTTCTAATTACATTTCTAAACTCTGTTTTTATTTTTCAATTCAACCCTAAACTATGACATGTGCAGGAGGAGATTTCGTCTTGATCTTATCTAGATGGGAGAAAATTGATTCTCAGTGAAAAATAAATATAAGAGATATACAAGTTGCTGTAGAACAATGTTCACAATGGAAGCCATGAGAGAGTGCTGTTCACATAGAGCATCAATGAGAAAAAAAAAAAAGAAATACGTTAATGATGACATCAAAATATAAATGATCTGCAAGTAAGGTTCCAGCCCAGCGGTGGGAGGGGCTTGTCCCCTTCCTTCGCACCTGGGTTCGAGCCTTACCGTATACGTTTGTCACCCCCGCGGTGCCTTACCTGCTCACTGGGCTTGCAGGATATTCAGTGGGCCGTGGAGCATCAATGAGAAAAAAAGAAATACGTCAACGATGACATCAAAATATAAATGATCTAGTTACTTATCACTACATAATTGATGAGCTAGTTTAGAAATGAAATATAATTTGATTTATCTTTTTAAATGATAGTTTTTCTAAATATTAAAATAACAGTATATTGAATTGATTTAGATCAACTCGAGTTAACATGCTATATTTATGATATGCATTATGAGACAATGATAATCCTACAAAAAAAATTAAAATAAATCATGAAGTCTAATTTAAAATCAATCATACGTGGAAGGATAAAATTAAAAAAAATA